GGGCACTTCAGTCACATACTGTCAGCTCAGGGGATCGAACCGGCGACCTTCTGGTCACAGGGCTGCTTCCATAACCTCCAGCTCATGTGCAGAGGAGACAAGAACCAATCAACCTTTAAGAAAAGCAGTGAGTCTAAGTGAAATACACCCAGCTCACAAAAATTCTCTCTTCAAACTACATCATTTAGAATTAAACATAACAGAAGATTAGATTATCTTTTTTTCCAGCTTCCCCACGATCATTTTCAAAAGTACAGGGAGAGGATGACGAATTGGCTGAAACGTCTTTAAAAATTCTCATTTTTCAACACATTGAGCTGTAGGCATCTGATGGCCAGTTCGGTCACGCTTCCGTAGCAGCAGCCAGTACGACCAAACCTTCTAGTTAATCTATACCTTTTCTTAACCACTTGTGTTAAGCTCCAACCCAGTAAACCCACTTCACTGCTGTCACTGCTTTTATGATCTCATCTGCAAACACACAATCTGAACTGCCACAGACACAAGGAAAACATACACTGTGGCGTGTGCACACAATTTAGCCTTTACCTCAAACTCATAAATCCCACACAGCCACTAGGCTGACAATCCACAATGCAGTAACTCCCATTAATCATGGTTAGGAAATGGTGGCTCAACAGAGAGTCCAGGCCAAATTCACTAAACCTGCAGCCATGTCCCCAAAAAGCACAAGTTCTTTCAAACATCACATGCTAAAGGGAACATAATGCATTATCTTTTCAGAACAGGACATCAGCTGGAACAAAAAAGGGCACCAAAGTACAAAAAGAAATACTGGCATGTAAGACAACAACAAATGAAGCTCAACTGTCATTTTTATACATTTTCAACGTCAAGCATCTGCACCAACATAAGCCCAACGCCACTTATCCTCCCTTATAAAAGACATTACATTAACGTGAGAAATAAAGAATATTTTGTGTGCCATAAGGATCCTCGAGTAAAAAGAGACCGAGGTAGATCTGTCACGATCAACGTACAGAAAGGCCAGTCCGGTCCCGCTGCAAATCTGCATGTCAAAAAGGCACAGAAGCTTAACTATGTTTATTTGTCCCTATTAAGGTCAGGTTTAATCGGCTTCTACAACAGTCACACCTACAGCATGTATGAAGTCGAACGTTCATTGATTTTTGAGTCTCATTTTGTGCAGCGCATAGTAAACACGACAGTTTTAACTGAGCACGGAGGAGCAAGGTTACGTCTTTTTCTGATACAGGTGGCTCAGCATATGCGCACAGAGGCGAGGCGGATTTCACGCAGATTTATTCTGCAGGATACCTGCGCCAGCATGCTCTGCCACCGGCAGCCTGTCTGCAAACCAACATTGCACAATGCATTAGTTAGATTTATTGCGGATTTTGGCACTTACCCCATCTTTTCCTTCAGCTCCGCTGGACTGCTGCTCTGTGTTGCACAGTTTCCTCTTATTTTTGTTCTCCGTTCTCTTCATTTTGATAGTCGGTTGACGAACTGATCAATCAGACGACCATCAGTCTGATCTCTCAGACGGCTTGGATGGAGAGTCTTGTCTTCTGCCTAGCCTGACAGAGTATGGCGCACAGCTGCATTTACAAAGTCAGAATCCATGAAGCAACGTTAATGTTAAGCCTCTCCTCGTTTTGAGAACAAAAGCAAGGGAGAAACTGGAGCTCCCACCAGCTGACACGAGTTGAGAGAAAAAATGGCTTTCAGTGTACGATACTCCCAATTCAGCCTGACCTAAAAGCTGGACATGTCATGTCTAATCGTTAAATGTTAACTAACCACCAAGTCTCTGTACACTTCTGACTGGCCGGATAAGCCTGTCCTGTCCGCAAACTTGAACACCATCTGTGAATGTAGCTAGGTTAGTAACCTAGCTAGCTAACTTAGCTGTGCCTTTGGGGGAAAGGTTTACCCAACGTTACTTTAGCCGACTAGCGACAAGAACTAAGTAGCTAGGTTACCTAAGTTTTATAAATTGTTAAAGTAAAACTTCAACCGACGAATAAGCAAGAAATGGTTTACTCACTTTCAGAATTAATATTTAAGAAGCCGGTAGAGCAGGTTGACTGAAAACTGCCCGACATCCGAAGACCACTTCGTAGCCTAGTTAACCTACTGTAGTTACAAGTAAGCTAGCTGGCTAACAGGAGCTTCCATACTCGGGAAACTAGATAGCTCAGTGTTTCTGCTTTTCGAGCAGAGCTAATACTCGCCCACAGCCACTTCATTCAGCAAACAATGAGTTAATTTTATTTTTCCAAGTTACTCATTTGTGTCGCTCGTGTTCGGCGCGTTTCGGTCTCTCCCCCAGCAGCAGCTCGTAAATGCGGCTAGCTGGCTGGCTGACGTGACTTAACTGGCATTGTAAGGTTAGCTCACCACAGAACTAAACAACACGACCTGAACTACTCGGTGTCAGTCAGTCATCCCGAGATGTCTGAAATCTCAAGACTTTCCTGACGATGTTCGCAAAGCTACCGACAGGCATGTCCGCAGTGGTACGTCTAACGTTACATCAACACAGACCCAGTAGAAGTGACTGCAGGCTGGTCGTAGGTCTCCCTCCAAAGCTGCTTCGCCTCTCGCTACCCGTCACGGAGGAATTTACCCGCTTCCTGAACCTCATCAGGTCATCGCTGCGATTGGCTGATCTGAGATCGGCCCTCAGGAACACATCCACGAGAGCAGATCGCTCATAAATACCAGTGAGCTGAACTGGGATCAGCTTTCTCTCACAAAGTCGAGCACAAGTAAATGACGTCGCCGGGCTTTTGAATGGGTCTTTGCTGCCATCTGCAGTGCGACAAGTAGAGACAGACGTTTCTGCTTTTAATTCATTAATCTTCTTTCTTTCTTGTTATGTAGACAATGGCTTACTGAGACTTAGAGACATATCTTAGGTTATTTTAAATTGACCGTAACTATTATCACAATCAATCTATATTCTTGAATGAATACTGCGAAGATGTTTATAAAACGGTTCTGGTCCGATAATCTGATTGGCTGAGCCGCGTTGGACTGACCACCTTACAACCATTTAATTCCTACTTAATGCGCCAAGTCATAAATACCGTTGTGCTGTAAATGAGCTGTTATGTGTTTTGACAGATGAAGTAAAAAGTGCTGACAATTTATTTTCGCATTTCCCATTATTTTAAACTAGGCTAAAAGACAGCATGCTAACACTAAACAAGCTAAAATAAAACGAGCTAAACCGCTTATCCACTAATATGCTGGGCTGTGGGCTCTGAACCTTTACTGAATGATTCACTGTAAAAAAAAAAGCCTAAATAAAAAGTAAAGAATATGTTATTTGAGTTTCTTCCATGAGGAAAACAAAGGTGTGTCACAGTTAGCCTGATGCTAATGCAACATAGGAAATCACTTTGTAACCCCAGGACATTAGCATTATCATGGTATCATGATTGTAATATGTAAAATTTCATAATATGACTACAGCATACAGTCAATGATGGGTGACTCTGAAAGTTCTTGTACCTCAGAAGTTTATGGTTAACATGGCAAAATTCGGCCTGTAAGGACGTTTGATGACACGCAAGAAAGTTAATCTGAGAACAAACATATTTTCATACTAAATATAACACATAACAATATATATAATATTATTCATTTTTTTACGTATTTAATTACAATTACAGAATGTTATAAATTACATCTTTATAAATCACTTTTTGAAGCCTACTTATATTTTTTATATATTGTTATGTATTTTTGGCCTTTGACCCTCTACAAACATTGCACTCTGGCCCGCAAAGACAAAGGTTCTGGCACCTAATGGAAGCCTTTGTTTATTGTGACTATAATTAATTATAACCTGAACATTTATCAAAAATTAGTGTATTTTATATATATTTTTTATGTTGTGGTTTCATAAAAGCAATAAGCCACTTGAGGCCGTGCGTTCGTGATTTCACCACAGGTTAGGTGTTTTAGGCACTCTGCTTCACGCCTAAAAACACCCCTTATGTATGATAAAAATCACTGTAATGATCTATTGCATTATTTGATATTAGAATGTTAAAACTCTGGGGTTTGCATTATCTGTCAGTTTATATGCTATGAACCTTGCCAAATTTAGCATAGGTGTTTAATTAATTTGATAGCACTGTTACTTTTTAAATGGACTTTAACCATCAGTCACAAATTAGTTTTTAAATGCTAATCTGATCATTCAATGTGCATGTTGTTTATGTTTTTAAGTAAGTCTGTAAAATGGGTGTATGTGTCTATGATCTCTACTTCTTTTCCTCATTATATCACAGGTCGTCTTTCAACAGATCATCTGCTTACTTTATTGTGGGGAAATCAGATCTGCTGTTCAGACAGCTTTGCATTCCACACCTCACAGCACAACATAACCTCACCCCCCACCGCCAAAAAAAAATTATTCAACAAGCTAATGGCTGTAGAGACAAAAAACACCTTATTATGCCTGGTTCTTCCAGCAGGTACTCTACAACGCCATCATGGAAGTAATTCAAACTCTGGTAGCAAGGGGTGACCAGGACAGGCTACAATAGCACTAGCTTTCTTTGGAATTCACTTGTTATACATATATCAAAAAGCTGGGCCTGCCGTACCCCAATGATTTTATCTGCTAACTTGCCAAGGCAAGGCGAGGCAAGGCACTGTTTCAGGACTTAAAGATGTACTGTATAAGAATTTCGATGTTATTTGTCACCAGCTCACTTGGCTACCTGCATGAGATAGTTGCTGTGCATTGTAAAACCTTTTTCCATTTGCTCTTCAGTTTGAGTACTAAATACAGAACACCCTTTTTACTTTACATCTTTAATTACTTTTTTGCACTTATATTTGCAAGAACACACCCACAGATACAGTATCTGCCAGCAAGAAACATATTTATTGATTTTACATATTTATTACCCTACTGGCTCAAAGACAGATCACATTATATATATATATATATATATATATATATATATATATATATATATATATATATATATATATATATATATATATATATAACTCATTAGTCTGTGAGGTATCTCTTCTCTGGATAAAATCCTTTAATAACCAAAGTGCCCAGCAAAGAGAAGAAAGCGACCGTAGTGAGGATTGTCCTCAATGCCTTGAACCAGCTGGGGTATGTGGGGAGAAGAGACAGGTCATAATGGAGTGATATGCCAAGCCCAATGATCACAATCATGCCAGCCTGAATAATGTTATGGCTAAAAAGGAGGGCTAGCCAAGCTATTAGGGAGGGAACTACACTGTTGGCTAGGTTCAGCCAGTCTGGCTTTGCTGGGCTGCTCTCCGGTAAGGCAAAGCCCCAGCGGGCTCCTCCAAGAAAAGAGACGATTGAGGCTCCATACACAACCTGAGCATAAGCTACCTCAGGAAGGTATGCCTCTGTAACTGCCATAAGTAAAGGAGCTGATACAAACGGTATGAGACCAGAAAATCCAAGATAGAGTGCTGGTTTGGGGGCTTTCTTCAGGTCTCTCATATCATAACGAAGCAAGTCAAGTTCTCGAGGAGGTGGCTCATCTGGCTGGTGCTTCTTAGGTCTCAGTGAAGAACAGTGGAATGACTGGGCTTGGAGAAGAGAACCTACGACATATCTGGAAGGCAGCTGCCCACATCGATTCGTGGTGAGGAGTATGGAAGAGCAGGTCTGGTGTCTTGAGTAGATGAACTTTCTGGACATGTGTTGAAGACTGCTCCATCTCCGACACTGTTTAAAAAAAAAAAACATGTATTTGTCAACATTAGCTTTACTGATGGAATTTACAAATGTGAACAAAATCACATTCACTAACTTGAATCTTTGCAGTTATGCATCACATGGTCATGAAATATATTAATATTTTCATGTCTTATCTTGGGTTCAGAGCCAGGACATAGATCTACCTGCAAAATGACCTACAGCAAAAATTGCATTAATGTGTTAACCTTCCATCAGGATAGATATTTCATTGGAGAAAGGTGATCAGTCAGAATAACTTTGCATTGGCAGTGACCCTTCCTTCTAAGGGGACAAGCGGACACAAACCATGCTAGCAAAATGCCCCCCACAGCATAACAGAGCTAACACACCCCACCACTGTAAAGGCCAAGTATTCAGGCCTGTGCTATTCTCACCACACATACACTCACCCGCTTGCTGAGAACATGATGAAAGACGACTCATCTAACCATTTCACTTTTATCAACAGCTCTGTAAACCAGTGCAGAAGCTAAGGCACCACTCAAAGGGGCTTTTGTGATGTTTTTGTAGCCCAACTATAATATTCTTCTCCATGTAGTTGCTGACGGACTGTTCTTGCTGATACATTCTGACAACGTCAAACATTGACATTCTCAGACACCGAATGCTCTGAATGTCCTTTTTTGCCCACATATTTTAACCCTATTTGTTTTTAGATAGATAAATCTAAATGCAGATGTCACTTCAGTCACTGTTCCTATTGAAATACTAGTCAGTTTAACAGTGTTTGAGACCAAATCTTCTGCCATCCCTACCCCAGTAATGAACTCTCCTTCAAAGTCACTTAGGGTCTGTTTACACCTTGCCTTTACATGCTTTTTCGGTGATCAGATCATGTTCACTTGATCACATTCACTTGACCACATGAAAAGACAAGTGTAAACAGCTCCAGGTTGGTTTGTGATACAACTGGAACTCTCAAACCACGTTTGGAGGTGGTCAGAGACAGATCTTGACTGCATTTAACACAAGTGTACAATAATGACATGAGCAGAAATGTATCTGTCGAGTACTGACTAGCATGTGAGAGAATAAACAAAAAAATGAAAGATGGAGGATATGTAAGGCTGAAGTTAGCCCCAAACCAAGAGCCTTATTGCACTCCAGGTCAATAAAAGCATCCAAGCAAAACGGAAACAACATGCGTGTTGATGTGCTGTTTAGGTAATGATGCTTCAGGTAATTGTTGGTGCCACACAGGCTGGTCTGTGCTTCCCTTCATGGCCACAATTTACCCATCTTCTAATAGCTACTTCCAGCATGATAATGCACCATGTCACAAAGCAAAAGTAATTTCAAATTGATTTCAAGAAAATGATAATGAGTTCAGTGTTTTCCAGTGGCCTTCCAAGCCACCAGATTTGAATCCAAAAGAGCATCTTTGGGATGTGGTAGAACGGGAGATTTACAGCATTAAAGTGCTCCTGAAAAACCATGTCAACAGGGACCAGAATCTCAAAGTAATGTTTCCAACATCTTGTGGAATCCAAGACAGAAAGAATTGAGGCTGTTTTGAGAGCAATGGGAGGGTCAACTCAGTACTAATATAGTACTTTCCCTTTTGTCACCTTGATCCAAAATCAAGGTCATCTGGCCCTGCTCAGCATTGCTGTACATGCCAAGAGCATGGTACAATGTTAACTGCTGACCTGTATCATGCAGTACATGTCTGGAAGTGTCTGCACTTGTCATGTTTCTCCACTCATTTATTAATATTTTTACTTTAATCTGTCACCCATGTGCATAAATTAATTAATGTATCTAATCATTAGAATGTTCTTCAGAAGGTAATATGTAACCTGGCTGAACCATTTCAAATACCAGTATTATTACTTTTCTTATTGTGCTTACCTTCGTCACATAGAAATACATTAAAAAAAAATCTTAACCTTCACTGCCACATGCCCCGAAATGGAAATGAAGATGGCTGTGGGTAATGTGGGTAATTTGAGCTCACAAGGTGCATTCAAGGTACACTGCTCAGTCAGCCAGTTCACCTCAAATGTTGTCAAACCTCCAGCCATCCTTTTACAGTTTTGTTTACAACTTTGCACAGCTCACACAAAGTCAATGCTGCGCTGATACCTCTGAACATCCATACTTTCTTTTAACCAAGACAGGCAACATTTCTCTTTTAACATTAAGGTACTTTAAGTAATGTGAGTACTGAAATGGTTAACAGATCAGGCATACACAATTATGTTCTTGGAGATTTACCACTCTGGAAATTCAGATCCAATCAGATGTTCCCAAGGCCTTTATCACAGTGGTGTGTTGGATAAGGTTTGGAGCTAAACTCTGGATGGTGGTGGATCTCCAGGGCCATGGCTTGTCTCACGAAGCAGGATTTCTTGCTTAGCCAGCTAATTTTAAGCTTAGTTCATTCTAACACTAGAGTTTCTGTTTCACAATGGAGGATTATGTTTTAGCAGCCTTCATTGCCGTGGCAACTAATGCGGAAAGGTTATGTTCAGGATTTTGAATAATAAACAATTCTTGGGCCAATCAGAGTGAACACGCTCTGTTTGATGTAAATTTTCAAAAAAAAATTAAATGAAAAAAAGTCAAATCATCTTGTATGACATCAGTGCTCATGTCATGAATATGCTGCTTAAAATTTCCAATATCCCCAACTTTCCCGCTTGCCTAGTACAACATAATTTGTGTTCAAGTGGTTTTGGTTGGGAACCAAATGGATGTGCTGAAGCAAACCCCAATTATAATAATCTTATAATATTACATATACTATATTGCCAAAAGTATTCGCTTGTCTGCCTCCACACGCATATGAACTTGAGTGACATCCCATTCTTAATCCATAGGGTTTAATATGATGTCGGCCCACCCTTTGCAGCTGTAACAGCTTCAACTCTTCTGGGAAGGCTTTCCACAAGGTTGAATGGGAATTTGACAATTCTTCCAGAAGCGCATTTGTGAGGTCAAACACTGATGTTGGACGAGAAGGCCTGGCTCGCATTCTCCGCTCTAATTCATCCCAAAGGTGTTCCATCAGGTTGAGGTCAGGACTCTGTGCAGGCCAGTCAAGTTCTTCCACACCAAACTTGTTCATCCATGTCTTTTTGGACCTTGCTTTGTGCACTGGTGTGCAGTCATGTTGGAGCAGGAAGGGGCCGTCCCCAAACTGTTCCAACAAAGTTGGGAGCATGAAATTGTCCAAAATCTCTTGGTCTGCTGAAGCATTAAGAGTTCCTTTCACTGGAACTAGAACTGGAACCCAACTCCCGAAAAACAACCCCACACCATAATCCCCCCTCCACCAAACTTTACACTTGGCACAATGCAGTCAGACAAGTACCATTCTCCTGGCAACCGCCAGACTCGTCCATCGGATTGCCAGACGGAGAAGCGTGATTCGTCACTGCAGAGAACGTCTCCACTGCTCTAGAGTCCAGTGGCGGTGACACCACTGCATTCAACGCTTTGCATTGAGCTTGGTGATGTAAGGCTTGGATGCAGCTGCTCGGCCATGGAAACCCATTCCATGAAGCTCTCTACGCACTGTTCTTGAGCTAATCTGAGGGCCACATGAAGATTGGAGGTCTGTAGCAATTGACTCTGCAGAAAGTTGGCAACCTCTGCGCACTATGTGCCTCAGCATCCGCTGACCCCGCTCTGTCATTTTACGTGGCCTTCCACTTTGTGGCTGAGTTGCTGCCATTCCCATTTGCTTCCACTTTGTTATAATACCACTGAAAGTTGACTGTGGAATATTTAGTAGCGAGGAAATTTCACTACTGGACTTACTGCACAGGTGGCATCCTATCACGGTACCACACTGGAATTCACTGAGCTCCTGAGAGCGACCTATTCTTTCACAAATGTTTGTAGAAGCAGTCTGCATGCCTAGGTGCTTGGTATTATATAGCTGGGCAATGGAAGTGATTGGAACACCTGAATTCAATGATTTGGATGGGTGAGTGAATATTTTTGGCAACATAGTGTACCTAGGCCCATATATACCTTCCATCATAATGTTTTTTGGCCTTCATGGCATATATTTTTCCCCAATTCTCTCCATAATTTAGACATATCCAATTTCACCCACTAATTAGAAATAATAAATCCAAATCACACAATCCTACCAGTGCTAGGAGGCCAAAGACAGCACAGGCTTCCTCCGAGACCTGTGAAGCACCACCGCATCTTTTCAAACTGCCGCTAATGCGACGTCACTGGACAGCTGAATGCACTCAGAGGAAAGCGCCAACCGCCAGTTCTGTTACGTCTGGCACCTGTAGGTAACACACTCAGCTACAGGAAGCGTTAATTGTTGCAGTCCTGATTAAGCTTTTGCAGAATGTATTGTTCAGGGAAGCATCTCATCTCCTCAAATATTTATTCTTCATTTCCCCACCTCCACACAAGGAAGAAAGAAGGAAAGAAAGATAAACAGTGCACTAGCCAGGCTGAACAATTCAAAATGATTTGCAATGCTAAGCGAATGCATTGCCTGCAGTGTCTTCAGTTTGGGCTCTGTGTGCAGTATTAAAGTCTGACAGCCGAGCAACTCCTTGTGAGTGTGGTACATGGGGCTCGTCCCAGTCCACCACCGAACTGTGGAGTTCTGCACAAACAAATGATGTCTGCTCCCCCGATTGTGAGGCAAGGAAAGCAGCTCTTTAAGATGCTGAAAGTTTGTTCAATGCAGCCACGCGCCATTCAGTTTACTGTCGGCAAATCATGTAAAAAATGGCATGTATTCATCTTTGAGTCAGTGGCTACATGTGCGTGTTTAAAATAGTTTGGCCAAGTGACATACAGACTTTGTGTAAATTACATTGCTGTGTTAGGTTAGGCCTGAAATGAAAAGGGCTGTTATTGTGTGTCTAAAAGAACTGAAGGAAGACTGTTTAAATGTTATATATAAATATAAATATAAATATAAAGGCAGCAGTTATACATATATATATATATACACACACACACACACACAGATACATTTGAAATCTGTTATATAGCAATAAATGTCCTTATTATGCAGTGTTTTTAGTTGGGTTGATCATGACATAATGTGACAGAACATTTTGTGGCAGATCAGGCAGACTATTGCTTGTTCTTACAGAGCAGTCAGGTTTAATTTAATGGGCAATTGGGTGTTACACCCCTGAAGTTACCGGTTTAGCCAAACCTGTGTTGAACTGAGACTAAACTGCTGCTAAGCTAATGATGGAGCAATAGCTTTTTTGTTGTTGTTTACCTTTGTTTTTTTCTGACATTGTTAATTTTGTTACTGCAACAAAATGAGAGTAGAGAATACCTTTGAGCTGAGTAAAGTTTTTATTCAATTAGGAGCATCACATAAGGTTATAAATGTGCCTAAATTTTGAGTGTGGATGACTTTAGCCCACAGTGTTTAAAATATATAAAAAAAAATAGTTATACTAAAATATAACTAGGTTACAATTCAACTGTCAGTGATGGTGCATTTTTTTGTTGATACGCTCTCAACTTGGCAAGGCAGGTCAGTGTTCCACTAGTTAATACACTGTGGTGGTGTTCATGTGTGTTTGCCTCCCAATTATGATATCTCTTAACACTACTTGAAGGCAAAATAAAGTAAACTTACTTTGTGAGACAGCCCCAGGACTGCTTGACATTTATTAGATAAAGATCTGAATGTGAAATGTCAGTATCAAGATGCACAAAAGATCTGAGTGATTTATGATTGTTCTGATTCTTTGCTTGTTGGTTATTTCTACCTGCAGTTATCCTCTAATCTCATATAAGTACTGCACACACTTCCTAAACTCTAGGACTCATATTCACAAAGCTTCTTAAAACAGGAGTGCTGATCTAGAATCAGATTCCTTTTTAATTTACTGTGAACAGATCTAACAGATCTAAATCAGCAGTCTTTGTGAAGTCTACAAATCTGTACCATGGGTCAGTGGTTTTAGTCTACTCCTCAAAGGACCCCAGACAGTTTTATTCTGCCCCAGCTCCAAATAAATCTCAGCCAGGTGATCAAGGACTGTATAATGATGTCAGGTGTGTTAGGTGTTTTGAACAGAGTGAAAACATGGACCAGGTTAGGACAGAGGAGACTTCCAGAACAATGATTTTTTTAAATTGTAGCCTGTGATATAGGTCTGTGGTACAATTTCTGTGTCTTCTTCCTGTGTTTTTATTGGATGATTACAGTTAATGGGAGTGTACTATGAAAGTTTGATAAAGTTATTTAATTGCTGATATATGAATATTAATAAAGCCTGCTTTTGTAAAAGTCAGCTGATAATAGGATGTAAGTATTCCTAATAAGGATACACTCAAACACTGAAAACGGCTGCTTAAAAGGTTACTTTAAATTTACATGATTCAAATACGTACATTGGCTCCCCATGAATATGTAATACCAACATAATTACTATGTGTAAGTGCATAATTATCTTAATTTAGGTTGATGTAACCTATCATTTGTGTGCAACTGATGTACACATCTGAATAATGTTTAAAAAAGTGTAGTAACTGCGATGAAACAGGTGATGAAAGTGACGAGTAAGGGAAAAACATCTCATTTGTCAAAGACTTTCGCCGCTGATTTCTCCGTCCTCTTGCATTTCTTCCTCGCATCCTCAGAGGGAGGAGCTGGACAGATGCAAGGAACGGAAAGGAAGGCACACAATTAAAGAAATTAACCTTCTGAAGTTATTATGCTGATGAGGGGCATCAGCGTCCCATTGCCACTTGCTCACAACTTTGATTTGTCCGATACTTATGTGGATGGTTTACGCTTCTTCTCAGACTACCAGAACAAAGAGAGTAGTCAGAGCTTCATTCCAAAAAGAAATTACCGGAGTTCCTGACATAATACCATACTGGAATAACAGTATGTCCTTTGCAGGAAGGTGTGGACATTGCCTTGAAGTATCTTCTTACTAACGAGGGAAAGGCGTTGCATTTAAATTCATAGGTTCTAAATTAATTCATAGGTTCTACACAGCTAAAACTTCATTTAAAAAAAATAAACCAGAGATAGTATGAGACTGTTCTTTCTGCATGATGTGACGACCCTCCAGGCCACCTGGTTTGTTTGGCCCTGAGTGTGTGGCAGGTGAAACTGGGAGGCGGAGCTTGGACCTAATTGGCTACTGAGACACACCGGCGCGTGGGTGTTCAGGTCTCTTTAAAAGGCTTTCCAATGTGAAGAGCTGGGGCCTGTTTTCTTTGTCTCTCTTTACTGCAGATTCATTTTCAGGCCACCTTGGGGCTAATGCTGTTGTAGATCCAGCGAGTGGGCTTTGCTTTGCTGGCTCACTTCAGTAGTGCCATCTTTGTGGTTTGCAAACTGTTTTTAAGCAGCTTAAATGTTAAAATAAATAAGTTTTTGCTACAACTTCCACGAGGTGAAACCCTCAGCTATACTCTTTAAAAAGATGGTTCTTCAAGGGTTCTTTAGTAAAGGGAATGGTTATATTTAGAACCACAAGTTCTATATAGAACCATTTCATGCTTAAAGGGTTCTTTGCATGGTAAAGCAGTTCTTCAGATTGATAGAGAATGTGTTGTACGTGGTTCCAGATAGAACCGTTTGTGAAAATAATTCTATTTAGCAGCAAAAAAGGTTCCTCTGTTGTTACAATATCAAGCTTTTAGTGCTATATAGAACCATTTTCAAGAGGCTTCTATATCTAGGCTTCTTCTACATACTTAACACATTCTCTATCAATCTGAAGAACCATTTCACCAAGCAAATAGCCATTTCAGCATGAAATAGTTCAATATAGAACTTGTGGGTCTAAAGAGAGTCATTCCCTTTTATTAAAGAAACCTTGAAGAACCATCTTTTTCAAGAGAGTAAACATGTGAAACTCGTGAAACTCTACTCACCCAAGAGCTGGTAATGAGGTGTCTTCCTATAAGAGCCAAGGACATTTTGCCTGAAATGCAAATGCGACAACATTAAGATCTGGGCTAGATGTTCTGTTTCTTTTATCAAACAGAGGGTTTGAATTTGTGCACACTTGTTCCTTTTGCTGATCCAAAATAAAGCATAGTCAAGTTAGCTAGGTTACCTAGCTTATAACGTTAGCTGCTAACGTCAAAGTTCAAAGTTACAGTAGCTAGCCAGCTTAGTGCCGTCTTGATTTCTCCTCACTCACCAGTTTCCCCAAGGTGTTAAATTAGCCCCAAACCATACACTTTTAAATTAACATTATAACTGGGTAGCACGCTCAGAGGTCAGCACCGTCCCAGTTAACCGTGTGAAGGCAGCAGCATGTTCGTAATCCTTCAACACGGCGAACAGCTCTACATAATAAGAGTCCAGTCATTTGTTATTTATTCAGGCAAGGATGAGTGTTTGAGTGGCGGTTTTAACTACAATACACTAACTTTGCAGAACGTGTATTTTTATTCGTTATATATTTTAATGAAATTGGATCAGCAAAATGTCGGCAGAGTTTGGAATGTTATTAAAGGGCCTGTTCATTCAGTGATTGGTCGACTTATCTTGAGCTGTGAGGAGAAAATGAGACCGAAGCTGAAGTACAGTGTGAGCTACATGTAGTGGTTTTGCTGCAAGGCAAATATGCAATTTGCATTAAAGAGACTGGTCAGACAATCATGAAAACCATGAACTAGTGCATGTGAACTAGTTTAATGCAGATACTTTTTTCTATGGGCCATCGTTGATAAAATATATAAGCTGTTTTTATGTGTTGTTTTCAGTACTGGTGCAAAATGTATATTACAATTATTCCAAATTATTCTCAACCACATATAATGGTGTAAATAATTGCTACTCAGTTCTACCTTTCACATAGTAGAACTCAGCATAAAGTGTGATAAAAAAAAACAGCAAGACATGAAACAGTGAAACTCTCAAACAAGTTAAATGACATTAAATGAAATTGATAAAAAAATCATAGTAATGTAAAATAACCTATAGAAACACATAAAACCTGGTTTGTATTTTGCTGAGCTCCTATCCAAGTCAGCTGTGTTTTTGCTAGTTTCAGTCTTTCCTAGAGAGAATGGCAACTAAATTCTGAATGATTAAATTATAATGTGCTTGTTCAACTCTCTATACCGTCTTCATCACTAAAGAAAAGCACAGGCATGGAGAAGTGACAATATGGAAAAAAGCATATTGCAGTAATACTGTTAGATATTGCACCTATGATGTGCCTTGCAATGTACTAAAAGAATCACTGGTGAACACATGATGTGACAGGATTAAAGATTGGGCTGCTCTTGTGGCCTAATGCAATCAAATCATATGTTCCAGACCAGAACCACTATCCATTTGTTTACAGTTACAACACAATTAACCAGTCTCATGGGGCATCTGTGGAAATCCGGATCTTTTTTATTTAACATTTCTAGACACCAAAATATGATACTTTTTGATAATGACTAGACTATCCACTTAATAACTCCCGATTTTTTCGGTGATGCAAGAGTTTTTTTTTCCAATCTTAGTAGTGAATATAACATATTCTTTTCAAGAGATGAAAATCATTTGAAAAAAAAGTGAAAACAGTCTTTCTTTAGTAAACAGACTAAAAGACAGTCTTGTGAAGGTCACAAGTAGATCACTTTCGCTCCCCATCTTCTGACCATCTCAGTCAACAAATCACAATTACATTACAGTCCATTGATGATTATTAATCTGGCTGATTAATATTTAAAAGGGCACTCCAGCCAACATTTAAAATTTAACCATTGCAAACAATGCAAACATGCCTACTCACATCCTACAGTGGTGCCACAAGAGTCTCAAAAGAGAAATTTTTAGGCTTGACTAGGAAAACCACCGTCTAATGATGTATCTAAAAGTTGGGATGAACTACAACTACAAATGCTTTGGGGTGGATATCGGTAAAAATGTTTTGTTTGTTTGTTTGTTTGTTTTGTTTTTTATTTTGTTGCCAATGGTTATTTTATGTATTTGTGCAGCGCATGCTGGATATTGTACTGGGTGTCGTAAGAGAACACTGTTGGATGAAAATGCAGGAAGGATACAAGAACTGAGTTCTGTCAAATGTGATGCGTAACATGCTTAACACTGCATAACACAACAAATAGCATATTAAATGCTAAGTTTATACTGGTGTGCATCAAGTAGATATACAGGATTTGAATGAGTTGCTCAGCACCACTATGCCATGCCACTACTATGTTGATGTCACTGCTGCACTCCACCAACTAAATAATATCTGGACAGTGGTGGTCTTAAAGGTGGGCCCCATCTGTTGATGGACAGGGTAGAGGATGTCTGATAAATTGTGCAGCAACTGATGGGGTAAGTCAGTAATTGTAAACCAAAAACCTACAAGTTCATCTACAGTGAGGAAAACTACATTTACACACATAAGGTTTGATTTCACAACAGACCAATGATGAGAAAGTTAAGCGAAAGCCAGGAGTCACTGGAAAAGAGCTGCAGGATGATCTGAAAGCAGCAGGAACAATAGCTACACAGAGAACAATAAGCAATGAACCACACCACAATCATCTCCATTCCTGCCACACAGAACTCCTCTGCTAAAAAAGAAGCACAGAACTGTGCAAACTAAAATTTAAATCATTTAAACAAAGCAGAACTTTTAAGAAAAAATGTACTCCCGGCAGATGAAAAAAATAGAACTCTTTAGCTTGTAATTTTTGGAGAAAGAGTGGTGTGTATGATCCCAGGAACACCAGACTCACAGTGAAGTAAGGAGGTGGGAGCATCAAAATATGGGGCTGCTTCTCTTCAGACAGTACTGGGACATTACACGTTCTTTAAGGGAAGCATGACTGGAGTGATGTACCAGGACATTAGAGATGAATTTATTTTCATTGTCCAAGAAACTGAATCTGCGGTAAAGACAGATGTTTCAACAAGACAATGACCCCAAATATACATCCAAAAAAATTCATGACTGGTTTCTAATAAAGAAGGTGAAGGTGCTTACATGGCCTAGCCAATCTCGTGACTTGAACCCCACTACAGGCCGTAACTGACAGAACTGCCAGCAATTACTGTGTAACAAAGTACTAACGTTATTAATTTGTGGTGTCTGAATACTTTTCTCCCTATTAATTTCATTTTTTTTAAAGATATCTTTGATTACGCTCATACATTTGTACTTTTATGTTCATATTTATAAATACAACGTCAAAAGACATCACGTGTGCACATCTGGAGTGGATATGCACTGGAAGTGTATTAACTAACAAAAAATGAAAAGTTTCTACTGTCTCTGCCCTGTAAATGGCAGGTGTTTCTGATAACCCCCCTTGCAGTGCAGTAAAGTTGTATAAAACATGCCATTTTTATTATTGTCATACTACTACTACTACTAATAATAATAACAATAATAATAATAATAATAATAAATTATTTAGGCTATTAATGTTTGGTTAATTATGAGTTGAAAGATATATATGTATTTTATATTATATATTATATAAGTTGCTGGTTGCTGCTTCAGTGCAACAGCCTATTCTGCCTGTCTTCCTCGCTGAGTAAGTGCTCTGATGTTGTGGCTGGGCTCATACTAAACCACACTGCAATAATGTAACTATTACATATTAAAAATATCTCACTTAAACGCAGCAGAATTAATAAGGCATCTTAGAAAACACACACAAACAAGCGCTGGGGAATGTTGTGACGCGTCCGTGTCGCTCTGCGCTCGATTAGCTCGTCTGTGCAGAAGTGGACAGGAACACGGTGGACGGAGTTGGACGGGATTTAAAAACACAACACAAAACCACACACAAAATATCATACAGAACAACCGAAACACGACAGCTTTCACGCCGCCAGTCAGGCTGGAAAAGAAGCACATTTGGTGTGTGTGTTGAACTTGTTTGGGACGGACGGCGGATCAGAAGGTGAGTGTGTGTGTAGAGATGTTTCTCCTGTGGTTACGCTGAAGGCTTCGGCGGTGCTAGGGAGCCATTTTGCAACACTTTATTTTTTTACACAAATTGCTAACTTGCTAGCCTGGTAAGCTATGGCCGTAGCTAACGCTTGCTAAAGAAAACAGTCCTTCTTGAGAAATTTGGGTAATTGTTTGGAAGTCTACTGCATCGTTTCAGAATTTCATAACGCTAAAAATCAAATTAGCTTTGCGTTATTCCACTTACGAGCCCGCTCGGTTATTGTAAGCCATCTTTTGCTGCATGGTTTATCGCAGCTAAGCTAGCTAAGGCTACAGCTACACTTTGAATGGCCTACAGCCGTCTGAGAACTGCGTCGTGCTAACTGGTGATAGTTAAGATGGATTATAATTTACTGAGGTATTCAAATATAGTAGTACTGTTTTTACAGGAGATGTTGTATTGTTTTCGCCTTCAGTGACTTAGTGATAGTTGCATGCAGCGGTAGTTTTTCCAGTCAAGGTTAGCGATATGCTCTTGCTAATGAGACCATTCAAGTTGTTGGCTAGCTGTTGCTAGCTAACTCTCCGACTAGTTTCCAACACTCGTAAGTTACTAGTTCAGTTTTTTCGATTACTTTGCTCGTTAATTCGCATCAATATCCGTGCACTACAGACGAAATTGCGTTAATATTACATATATGGACTTAATAACGGTTACCTGTGAGCGCTAATATTTTTCAACTAGAGTCCGTTTGAGGCATTAGGCTGATTAGTCATGTTGAGATATTTGAGCGCTGGACGCGGGACTCTAACGTTCAAGTTTATGACCAGATAGTGATTTTTGAGAAATAGCAACCGTTATTTTAACCACAGTAGCTTATTTGTTAACCTGTTTCTGGCGGCGTTTTCCTTAGTAAGCTGTTATTGATGGTGAAAATATTTTGTGGACCACTGTTGTTTGGGGATTGTTCAGGCATGTTTATGGAAAAAGCGGGACAGTTTTTCATGCTCCTATGTTGAGTTGTAGCATGTTTAGCTATATAGGATTAGAACGTTCATGATCCCGAAAACTGCAGGTAATAACTATCTGATGCTGCTGTCGTTAGGAGTTAGAGGAGAGCAGGCTGCTCTATAGTAGACTGTAGTTAGGCTTAATGTATGACATGTTGGATATGCTTGAGTTTCTTGATTTTAAGATTTCAGGGAGTGGGAATTAAGACATCTGAAGATAAACAAATTGAAGTAAAATGTCTGTTTGATTTTTGTTTTTTCTTTTTACAGAGTTGGTCTGCAGAGTTGAATTGAAGCAATCTAAGGGAAGTAACAGCCCACTGGATAATATTTTTTCATAACACATTTTCTCGGACAAGACATACTCTCTTCATTCAACTATTAAACCGGTGCAACCGTTGTGACTGGT